GCTGAGTAAAGCCAAGAGTTAGGAGTACCTGGCTCACAACCCAGAGGTCCCGAGGTCTAGTACTCCAATGATGCATTTGTAAATAACAATTTCCTGTATAGCCTTTGGTCTCTCTTTATTCCATATAGCTCTGAAGTGGTAATTGTTGATTTGCTTGGTGCCACTAGCCTTAGCACTAGAAACTCTCCCTGTGATGGATAACAAGCTAAGCAATCAGGATGTTTGTTGTCAAGTAAAACAGTTCCAGGTCATATTGGTTTTGGACAACTTCTTCCTTTAATCTCTAAATTAGACAATACAAATCTACTTGCCTGCCTCATTAGTTGAACAACATGAAAAGCAGGACAGAATCTCATCATTTTGTCGCCATCACCAGTAGCTGCCAATCAAATTAAGACAGATACTAATAACTACTAGTTGGCAGTCTCTAATCTGTGTCTTCGCTTCATCTGAAGCGATACTGCTCCACTTAATTTATACAAGTGTTATGAGCAGACTGGGAGCCGTGGTTATTAAAACAAGGAATGACTTAAATTGACCTAAATTTTGACTACATAGGGTTTTTGGGCATAAAAAAAACTCCAGATGGGGCCTGCGCTCCATTATGTCACGCGGACCTTATATTTTGGCTTGTCACGCAAAATTTCTAATTTTATTTAACATGATACGATCCATGATCCGTGATCCGACCCGTGATCTGATCCGGTCCAATCCAGATTTCGTCGACACCGCAAACTCAAGGTTATTTAGGTCGTTTCAGGATACTTAAGAAATCACTCAAGGTCATTTTAGGTCATTTTAGAAATCCCTCAAGGTCATTTTAGGTCATTCCGTGTTTTAGTAACTACGAAAGATTAAGAGAATCAAAAGGCTTATGGAGCCAGCTCATTCATGTTATGGCTTAAGTTTGTATGGATTTCTTGGAATTGTTGAATATAGGCAGGGTTCTCCTTATCAGGCGGTAACCGGTAAAATTTATCAAGAGCATAAGAGCATTTATTACCGCCTTCAAACGCTCAGAACCCTTAAAAGACACGCATTTATGGTGAGCTAATCTGTTAAGAAAGGGAATATATATATAACGGCGTAATATGTGACTAACACAGTCTATATACTGTAAGATTTTACACCACTAACTCAGTCGGTAGATTAATTATAATAAATTAATATATTATTAAATTATACTACTGGCGTAAAATTTACATTATATAGATCACCGACTGGAAGAAATTACGCCGTTAATTACTGGCGTAAAATCTTGTCGCGAGAAAAAGAGACTGTAAATAGTTACAAGAAAGCGCGTGCACCTACAGGCTTTACGGTGTGCCCCAGTTTTCTTCTTCCCTGGGCGCGCTTTAACTATTCATCAAGCGCGTTCACCAACAGGCTTTACAAACAGGTTTTACAGTGTGCCTTCGCGCATTCGTGAAATTTGCTTTGGAGTTCGAGGTTCGAGTACTATCTGAATATGAACTATAGCGAACGTGCTTTCCAGAGGACGGTCGTGTTGTTGGAGAAAATATATATATATATATATATATATATCCGACTGGAAGAAATTATGCCGTTAGTTACTGGCGTAAAATCTTACATATTAAGGGGATAATCTTTCCCTTTCCCCAGCTAAGTGAATCACAATTAGCACTTTCTTTCAACCAGGGCCATTCTCCACAAGAATCTTGTGAGTTAGTGATCAAAGAAGCCCAGCAAAAAGCAAGAACAGCTACTAAACCATTTCAAATGGCCTTGATTGCTATTAACAAAAAGGTAATGCAGGAACAAGTTTTGTTACTGTTTGATTATTTGTAATTAACAATCTGAGCTAAACCATACTGTAACCTTAAGGTCAACGTTTTGCAGGGAATGAGTTTTTAAAACAGAAATGAACTGTTAGCCTGTGAGCAGACCCTCATTTTTGTTGCTTCGGCATAGACATTTCTTCACCTGCAGAAAGATATGAGGCCTTGAGGAATGCTTTCGGCCATCAGGTCTGCAAGGGGTCTAGCACTGATAATGAGCATTACTAATGCCAGATCCCTAGCAAACCTCTGCGACTTGCCTCAAATCTTTCTGCATGCTCAAATTAAACACCACTCCTGCAGCACTTATGATTTTTGGGCACAATAAATCAAAGAGTACTACTAGGAATTTCTCTTCCTGGATCCAGTTGTTCGAAGCCTCATCTAAGCACTAACCCAGGGTTAAATTTTAAAATGGGTTTCTTTATTCCTTTGCTCCAAAGCCTTTTTCAGATAATTTTCTATATTATTTTCAGGGCATCCAATCATCCAATCGTATACAAACAGTCTGGAAAAACCAGAACCTATTCATTTACTAGGAGGAGAATATTCTTGTCAGTCTCCCCCCAAGTGTTCCGGCTCTAAAGGAGCCTCGTCCCTGGTCAGGAGAAGAACAGTCTCGTTAGTCTCCCCCAAGTGTCACGGCACTTGTATGAACATTTTAGGACAATTAGCGGTAGGCATCATCAATTCAATAGAACCTTCACATAGTGACTTGGCCGTGTCACATGACTAACACGGCTACGACTCATCCACTCAGGTCTTTTCCAGTCAAGGAAGGAAAGTGCTGCAAAGTACGTCGCCAATCGGAGAGGCAGTGTGATTTTTGGTAAAGGCGGTGTTCATCGCCCGCCTTGCGTTAACTAATCTACTCATCTCTGCATTTACAGGAACAGCATTCCTTCTTTTCTCCAACAACACGACCGTCCTCTGGAAAGCACGTTCGCTATAGTTCATATTCAGATAGTACTCGAACCTCGAACTCCAAAGCAAATTTCACGAATGCGCGAAGGCACACTGTAAAACCTGTTTGTAAAGCCTGTTGGTGAACGCGCTTGATGAATAGTTAAAGCGCGCCCAGGGAAGAAGAAAACTGGGGCACACCGTAAAGCTTGTAGGTGCACGCGCTTTCTTGTAACTATTTACAGTCTCTTTTTCTCGCGACATTTTTTACGGTCCCTTTTTTTCGCGACTGTTTTTGTCGCGACTTTTTTTCGGCGACTTTTATTTCGCGCCTATTTTTTGGCGACTGTTTTTACAGACCCTTTTTTTTCCTCGCCACTGGCCTCTAAAACAGGTAGGACCTCTCTCGGTGCAGCTACAAATTGCTGCCTTGAACCCACGTGAATTGGCCCAGCCTTGCAGTGGGAAACAACCGTGTTGAATACCTTATGCACAAGATAAAAATCGAAGAAAAGAGCGACCAAAAAATATCCTCTTAAAACTCAAGTGCTGATGCAAACGCGAGGTTAACGCTTAACTGCAGGTTTTATTAAATGGCCCACGAAAAAAACATATGGTTTGAAACGATAGGAAAATATATTATTGTGAAATATAAGCTTAAGCTTACTTTTATTTTCACAAACTGATCATTAAGCTATTGAACTGTTTGTATCAAGTCATTGAACCAGAGTACAGTTAGCTGGACCGTTTGGCATGACAATGAATGTCACAGCACGCTGATCCATTGCAGACTTTCGACACTGAACCATTTCAGAAAACACTTGGCCACTCGTGTTTTTATTGAATGGGCTCCTGGTTCAACAAGGGTGGCTACATAGTTTCTTAATTGCATAAACCATTTTTATTTGAATATTTCATTTCCCCAAAGGCTACTTGTCCATTTTTATTATAAATAAATCTTTTAAAATAAGGTAAATCGTTCTCCTTAGGACGATTAAACCACTTTTTTCGGATGTAAAAAGACGGAAACATATAAGCGTCCCAGTCGTTAATTATCCAGTTGTATTTTAAATAAATCTCTTATATATCTCTTAAAATAAGATAAACCGTTCTCCTTAACACAAACAGACCACTCCTGTTTATTTCAAACGATTAATTTTAGGTTGTCAACTTAGTTGATAACACTATAATTAACCTTTAATCTCATTAGTTACGTACACAATAAATCCTGACCAATCTGTAATTTTCCAGTCCGTCTGCCGGACGTAAAAAGACAAAAACATTTAGGCGTCCTAACAGTCGTTAACTGTCCATTTGTATTTTAAATAAATCTCTTAAAATAAGATAAACAGATTCATATCTAATTATATTTTGTAGGGAAGCATCTGTGTAATTTAGTCAGGAAAAACTGTTCGCATTGCATGCCTCTGGATGTGACCTGTATCATCTGATAGATACTACCTTTTGACTAATAATTTTAACCGGCATTTCTTAACAACCTCCAGAACATACTGACAGTGAAAAGAACCTCAGACAGAGCCACCAAACTCCAAACTCGGTGGTGAAAAACGTTCGTAACGCCTAAGCCATGTACCCTGTTTTTTTAAATTTAATGTTAACTGAATGTAAAGCTTTTTCTAAGTAGATCTACACGCTTCATGGCCATGAAAAATAAACTAAGAAGATAGGGGTGATAAAGCCTGCATAACTAACAGTTTTGTGGCAGTTTTCGGTGACAGAACCGCGGGAATGTGAAGAAATAAACTTAGGACTTCAAGAAGTCATCATTTCAAATCTTGCTCTTTTCCAAACCAAACTCGGTGATGAAAACTTCCAACCGACTTGATGCTGCACACTCCCCATGCTTCTGTTCACAAACGATACTCCTATTTCTTAGGATGACGAGGTTGTCTGTGAAGGGGGGTAGAGGCTAATCCCCCAATCCCCACAATCCCCTTCCCCTTGTTAAAAAAAATATTTCCTAAGATGAAATGGTGGTCTATGAAGGGGCAAGGGGTAATTCTCACTCCTTCCCTTCCCTCCCCCCCCCCCCCCTTTTCATTTTCATAACATCCTTTCTTGGGAATACTAGTCTCAGAAGCCGTGGATAATCCCTTATCCATGCCACCTTGTTCCCTTCAGCGAGAGAGAATGCCAACCCAATGTGAAGAGGGAGGTAATGATACATTTGGATTCAGAAGAAAGAATTTTTCTCCACAACACCCCCATGTCACTGTTAGTTTTTTCCCCTTCCCTACAGCTGTTGTCATTAATTGATTGCTGATACGTAGCACAGAATTACCTTAATGTTATCAATTTGTTTTCGATTTTCTCTAGTCCTGTAATTTCTTGACTCAGTTTGTTGATTTTTTTTTTCAAATTTTCCACTTCTCTCTGAACCGGAGACTCAAGCTTCTCGAGGGTTGACGTCAGTTCTCTGAAATAAAATAAAGTGAAATGTTTCTTTATCTGCAGTAATAACCAGTTTTCAAAATAATCGGGGATTTGGCATTATGTATCTCACCGCTAAGCCGCATATCATAAACTAGAGGAATTAATATGCAGTAATCCTCCGTCCAAAGCAAGTTTCCTTTTATTTTTTGCCCACGAAAAGGGTTTCGGACACATGTATAAAAAATAGTTTAGCTGTTCTCCAATTCTTTTCTTTTGCGTCGCCACAAGCCAAAAACGATTTTTAGCTGGACTAACCCTGTGGACAGAGATCGAAAGTGCAAATTTCACAAATTTTGTCCCGCGCCCAACGACTACAATAATATAGCTCACGGAATTCTGTCTTTCCACAAGTTAAAATATGTATTCAGTTAGTTCACAGACAAAATATGGAAAATTCACCTGGAATATATTTCATACCAGCATGATCAGAGGAGACCCTTCTCTTTGGCCTTAATTAGCATATCAAAAGTTCACCAACTTTTACGAAAGAATTCTCAAAATGCAGGCGTTAATTGGGCTACAAAATCATTTCGTTGCATAGTTATACACCATTGAGATCACCAATTGCCTCAAACCCGCGGGTAAACCTCTAACATTCATCCACTAACATCTTAAAAACAACGGAAATCCATGTATTTTCTCAACTGAGCTCATGTCAAAGATTATTTGCATAATTCTGAAAATTGACCAAGATCTCCTTTTGACCGTTCAAACTTCGTTTGTTTACTTTCTACGTTGACGATTTTTGGTTTTCATAAAAACTGAATGGAGAATAGATGCCGAGTCGTCCTAAAACGTTGTGTAAACGTGATCGGTCGTAACGCTTGCGCGCTTGCCTGACTTACAAAGTAAACAAAGGTAATCGGAAGGGGCCTTCTCAATAATTTTCGTTGAAATATCGGGTCACGAACTACGCAAAATGTGGAGAAGATCAAAACCCGCGGGTTTGAGGCAATCGGTGACCTCCTTGGTGTTTAACTATGCACTGATATGTTATTTTTAGCCCGTCTCTTAGGGTCTCAAAATGGGGCTGTTACGCGGCAGAAACCAACTGATGAGCAAATCAATGTTTGGCACCGAGCGTAAAGCGCGGGAATATTAGCGTCTGTTTTACTTTTTGCAACCTGATTGGTCAAAAGTATGACACCTAGTCTGAGTGGCAAGACAGCAAGTGTAAACCGCGTGAAAATTCGCGACTATTGAACGATGTGCGACCTAATGGGTCAAAAGAATGACACCTTGTCTGCTTAGCCAGACCACGAGACAAAAATTGAAATAAAAACAAAACACAAGGCTTTGTGGGTAAAAGAAAGTGTAACCAACAATCACATCAAAGACGCTTCAGAAATCACATGGCAGCCAAACTTACTGATGCACTTGTCCACTGCACTCAGCGCTAATGACGTTGACTTGTGACTGAAGCTTTTCAGTAGCGTAATTCACAAATTGTCGTTTGAAAGCTTTCCCTTTAGCACCAGCGGTCCAAAATGCCCTTGCAATTACGTACACTACACAGTATAACCCAACACAAAAAGCCATAAACCACCATCCTATAGTCCTCCGAATCTGCAGTTGGAGAAACACGAATTGAAATGGACGCTTCGTGTAGGCATACATACATCTGTAATGTTGCGTGAAACTCAAATCACATTTTTAATAGATGCAACCATGTCTGTACAGCGGTCAAACGTATACGCATGTACGAAAGTTGTCATGACAGGTTGGTGTGCTTTGAGGCTGTCTAATACGAGTTGTCTCACACGAGTGAGTTACCGACAACCACACAAGCCAGTGAGTTATAGTACTTCAAAAGCATTTTCTTTTGGTAAAGCTCAAAATCGTAAATCGACAGGATACCAGTACTTGAAAAAGCTTAGTGTTAGTAAAGTCTCGCTCTTTCCTTTTCCCTGCTTCTGTTTCCTTTAGCAGATTTCTAAAATGGTTTCGATTCTCTTTCGCTTACTTTGCAAGACAGCAGTCGTTTCTTATGTCTTCATTTGAAACTTTACGCGTGAAATTGAAGCTCGGCCGGCCCGAATTGATCCCCTCGCGCATGCCCGACGTTTGACCGCCGTGTTTCATGCCTCAGGTTCTCTGAATCAATACAATATTTTAATCCTTACCAGTCCTCCAACTATGATTAACAGTGCAGCAATAGGTGCCATTAGTAAAGCTGCCCCTTGCAACACAACTGGTAGGGTAGATCCCGAGCTCTCCATATTTCGCTGAATCTTAAACAAAACCGAAGTTACCATGAGCCACTACAGTTCGAACATAAATTATCGAGGGGCGACATATGCATCCAACCTGTAGCGCTATGGATTGCACTTCACCTCTTAAGCGAAAATTTGAGGATCGATCCCAAGTGAAAGCAAGTTTTCCTTCTCTTCCTTTTCCTCTTTTTTTCTCTAACCTTCTTCAGAAGCATATGTTTTCCTAGTTTCGCTGGGAACGTTATAACTTATTTTAAAGTGATCAGCTACAAAACAATCGCCTTTTTCTTTTCTTTTCCTAACATAAAATGAAATGGAGTAAGCGTTTTAATCATTCTAGAGTACAGTTCATCCATATTGTGTTTTTCGGCGGTCGAGCACCCAAAAAAAAAAACAACACAGAAATGGCTTTCAGCCATTTCCCTCGTTTGAAATAGAATTACATTAAACAGTTTCCTTTCGAAAGTTATAACAAAAATATTAATGCTCTTCATGTGCTCCTTCAACCTTAACTCTTCCCTGACTAGGCTAATTTTTTTCATCGCTTGTTATTCCATTACTAAAGTGTTCTTACCTTCGCTCCCCAGTCGTTGAATCGTTCAGACCCCAAGAGATTCCTCAAAATCTCTCGCCAGACAAGAGAGAGGTGACACTTCACATCTTCCTGAAAATCAGTGCACAGGCTGGTCACAATCGGTTCGAGGTTCGCTTGGAAATCAAGACTACAGTAAACAAACACGATAAAGAAATTAGTTACAAGATCAAAGGGCTCTTGGAGCCCGCTCATTCATGTTATAGCTTAAGTTTGTGTTGATTTCTTGGACTTGTTGAATATAGGTACAGTTGAATTCGGTTTATGTGAACATCCAAGATTTATGGAATAAATTTTCTTCTATTTTGGGCAGTTGTGTGATAAGAAAACTTGTGCATTTGTCGTGATGGGAATTGGAAAAAAGGTTCTGTGGGCTGGAGGTGGGATGGGCCAGGGTCATTAGGCAGACAGTGTCCTTTTTGTTGGTGTGTGTGTGGGGCGGAGGATAGGCTGGGTGGGCATAATCAGGCATCAAATGTTGCTTTAGCAGCAAAATATTAGTAACCCTCATCAATGATCATTTTCACTATTATGAAATATTCCTTGCCTGTTTCTTGATATATATTGTTTTTAACAAAGCGGCCATTGCATTTGGTTTTTAACAAAGCGGCCACAATTGTTCTTAACAGAATTTCAAGCCTTAAAGTCTGGTTTTCACATATTAATATTTGCGTAGTCACCAAACAGATGTGAGATAAAATCATAGAAAAATAAAAAAAAAATGGCCAGTCACGAAAGCAACGCTTCGTTTTTCCCTATAAAAATTTGCCTCTTCCTCATGTAAACCATTAACATTACAAGGCACATATGTGAAAATCAGTGTGTGTACACTCCTGAACGTTGGAAATATATCAATTAAAAGGTACAGTTTTGGTCTCGGTTCGCATTTTTGCTCACAAAATGAAGACACATGGGTTAAAAAGATGATACCAACCAACTCGCGCGCAAAGTGAGAGGACTATACGAAGGCTTGAAATTATGTTAAGAACGATTGTGAATGATGATCGCGGAAAAACGATTGCGTGACGCTCGGTTAGTTGTAAGATGACAACCCGTTACACGTAACAGACGAAAAAACAGTATACTGAAATTCTCAGTCTGTATTTTGTAATGCACCAGTCAATGTAAAAGCGGGGGATGTAAGCGGGGTCGTTAGCTTCAATTAGAGGAAAAACCTGACCTTGGAGTGCGGGGCATTTTACAACTTTAGAAGTGAGCGCTTGTCAAATGTCCCGCTATGTCCCGGCCGAGGGGGGGGGAGAGGAGGAAAGGGTGCGGGGGTTTACATTGACTAGTGCATAACCAGTCTGCAGGCTGTAGTATGCATTTTGTGCCTAGTCTTCTCGATTCAAGTTGCATTTTTATAGGTTCGGAAATTTGATTTGAGGTTATTATTTTTATTAAACCATACAAAAATTTTATTTCTTTTTCACGTTCGTTTCTGAGCTTCATCGAAATTAATTTTTAATTTCATTAAGTGGGGAGGGTTAGCATGCGAGACTACTTCCGTTCACAGTCTGCAATGCGACTTCCGTCTACGGAATACAACTTCCGTCCACGGTCGACATCTGCTTCACCACAAGACCTTATTCATTGCTTCCAGCATGAATGAGCTAAAAAAGGAATGTTTATTCATTCCTCCTCTTGGTTGTCTGTTTCCTGGTTTCCTAAGGCCAGTAGTCCTGAGTTCTTATTATACCGAGTCAGTAGATATTCACCCTAGAATCACACATTCAGGTCACGAGGATTAAGGAGATGAACGCCAACTAAAGAATCTCTTGATTGTTTGACAAATTCTCCTTATCAGCACCTTAGGAAATGTGTGGAGAACAATATATGAGCTAAGGAACACAATACTCACGCTGAAGTGACGAGCTGAAGAGATGCCTCTGTTTTTATTTGCGGAAGAACCCTACTAAGGCGATCTGGGAAAAAAAGTAAAATATATTTATATATACTTAAGGGAACGGTCATTACGTATCATCTGAGGGGGTGAGGTCGGAGGATGTCGTTCGTGTTACAATAAAATTTACTAGATCCCCTGATAAGGTCCTGTAATATCCTTATGATTTCCCTTCCCCCCTCGTTGGTAGTAAATTGACGTTGGCAGTCACTTTTGTACAGTCCCACTTTATACTCTGTCGCTGATGACTGACCCCCCCCCCCCGTCCTCCCTGAAAACAATGTGATCCTCCCCTAAATCCTCCCCCCCCCCCCGCGGCCAAAATTAATAACTGGTCCCAAAGGACTCATTCCTCTTTAATATTAGCTTCTTCCCCCCCTCCTTTTTTCCCCTACCATAAGTTACTACTCTACCTCAGTTATTTTGGTACCCTTGGGAATATTCTCCAGAACAAACGTTCCAGTACGAAAGAAGAACTTTTTAATATCCTAACCGCGCGACATGTGGCGGGATGAGAGTAAAAGGGTCGCAGGATGGGGGTGGGGTGGGGAGAGGAGGGAAGGAAGGCTAGTATACGAATCCTAGCTCTTGAAAAATCTCTCTGCCCACGAATGGCACTTCTGGTTGATGCGGCGGGATAACATAATTGACAGGTTTGAAAAGAAGCTATCAAAATCCTTGTGCAAAACAATGCAAGCGTGACTTGCGATTAGAAACATCAAAGTGGCAGAAGGTGTTTTAACCCTTTAACCCCCAGATCAAATTTGTAATTCTCTTTACTATCAACCATACAACTCTTACAATGTTAGTTCAGAGAATTTAGTATTGAATCAACTAGTTATCCCCAGATAATTCCGGCAATTCACTATATCCTCATTCGAGAATTTTTAGGGGTTACGTACACATGCATATTCACACATCATTCATGTAACATAGAGTAGTTCCTGAACACTGACCTGCCATTTCGTTTTGTGCCTTACAAATCACTTGAGTTTGAGTATTTGAACATGTTATCATTTCCCTTCCCAAGCCCCACTTGAGAACATCGTACAGCTCCTATTGACATAATGAGCGATAGTGTTCAATTTCAGATTATTCTTCCATTGCAGCTGTTGCTTGGCAGTGAAACTGTCTACACATGTAATTTTTACCTTTTTGTAAACTCCGAGGAACTTAGGATAAGGATTGAATCGACAATCAAACCCATTCACTAGCAAGTCCAGTCGACCAATCTCTTTTCTCATAGCCTCAGTCGCCTAAAGAAAGAAAAACATTCTGTCGAGTAAGCAACATCAGACTTTCTCACTGGCCGAAGGAGACAAATCTTCAAACGCACCACCGAAAAAATTTGTCCCAGGTAAAAACTGGACAAAATCAACCGAATAAACAAAACCGTGATAAACGTGTCGATCATTTGTCGTAAAAGCTACAACCAGCGTGTAATTGAATTGAAATCAATTAACTAGAAAGGCAAAAATTGTCTTTTGTTGCAAAACTCAGGGATTGTAAAATTTAAACACAACTTAGAATAAATCCTGGAAACTGGAGGTGGAATCCTTTCGCAACTATGCTGGCCAGTCTTATGAACAGATCAGGTGCTACGGAATTTAACGGCTTTGAAATTTAACAAAATTTGTCCTTTGATTTTTTCGGGACAATTCTAATTTTGTTCGCTTGTGCAGAAAGGCCCTAAAAGTAAAAATGGATACAAACAAGGGATCGGGAAAACATGAAGAACTGCTGTCAGGGTGGGGAACAGGTAACATGGGATGGGCTGGCTTCCCATTTCAGGGGGTGGTAGCAATACTCTAGGTATGGAAATTGAGAAAAACTCTGACAGTTTTGTTATGTTAGATTGTGTCCCGATTTGTGTTCATCCTTAATACTAATATATAGATTTGGCCAAGCCTAAAAGCGGAGCTCTTCAGATGAAGGGCATGATGTCTGCATCAGTTGAAATTATATTCCATTGAGCGTGACTTATAATTTCGTTTGAGAAAATGAGCCAAAATTGAAAGAAACGACAGTAAACCACTTTGCCTAAAGACATTACTGATGGATTGAGGTGTATACGTGCAGTGAGCACAGTGAGTCAGTAAAACAATACGCCAGAATCGTATGGGCTTCTCTTATATCTTCTCTTGAAGTTACCATGTTACCATGTGCCATGTTACCCAACGTTTCAACCTCCTCTGTTTAGCGTAGACAGTTGAAGCCCTCGTGCAATACCTAATCGTGTGCCCGCAGTACGCTACACTGCAACTCTACGCCCGAGTATGCGCAGGTTATCGCCATCTGACGGTGTCTCCTGGCGCACACTAATGGAGTATCCAAGTTACTCACGCAATCGCGCCTGCGCATTACTTTCTCCCTGCCCTTCCATTACGTAATGACTTAGATAGTGCCCATGTTACAGTTGGCCGCGCGTGCTAAAAGTAGCACCTTATATGGTCGGTCGTACGGTCGTACAGTCGCACAACCAAATTTTTTCGGCTTGATGAGTTACTACTATTTCGTATAACTATGGGGCTACGCTTCGCGCGCTGCGAACTCCGCTATAAGTCATCATACTTATTACAAATTAGGTGCATATCTATGTGTACTCAGGCACTATAGCAGTAAAATGCAGGCAAACTCTTACTAAGATTTTACCCCTCACTTCAAAGTAAATTTGATATGCATATCAAAGACATCTGACAAGCATTTGAGAAACATATCAACAAAGTTATCCATTTGATTACATACTTTTTGATCTGCCTGTTCTGAAACCGTACATTGTGAAAAACTTGAAATTACCGTTTCTCAAGGCTGAATAAACTGAGTAGTTGTTATATTACCTGATCCTCAACTTTAGAAGTGATTTCCTTAATCTGGCGTTCGATGTCATTTCTACAGGTTTCAACTCCTTTCTCCACATCTTCCAGTATCTTCTCTTGCTCCTTCTTGGCTTTCTCTGCTTGAGATCTGCGCAAAATAGACCATATAAACTCAGCAAAACCAACAATGAGCTAAAATCACTATCAAAAAGTAAAATGAAAAAAATTATCTGTCTCTCACCGTTGCTGACATGAAAAATTTTTTGTTACTTCCATAAGATCCTGCAAACTTTTTGAAATTGTCAATCCACTGACTGCATGAGATTCAAACTTGATTTGTAAGGCTGACTTGGTAATACACTCCTATAAAAAAAAATATTTGATAGCAACATCTCATTTACATCTTCATCTACTTTTACTAAGTTGGTAAATTCTGTACAGAATACCAACCAACTCATGCCACCTTTTGGTTCATAGGTGATCTGCCAAGAGACAAGTAGCTATTGGAAAAATACCTGAAATTTGCTTTCAAAGTTCTCAAACTCCTTCTGTCGAGTAGCAAATTCTGCATCAGTAAAAGTACCAACTGAAAAACAACATGGCAATGCTAGTTACTTTTTTACTTGATTTAATATAAAAATCTTACTTGTTAACAATTCATGCTGTTTCAAGAGAATGAAAAATTTGATCAGCCACCATGATGCATTCTGGTCTTTAAGGTCTTGGTAAAACAGAAACATGAAAAGAAAGTGGGAAAATAAATAAGTCAATTAAAAGGTGTGCCTGGATCAATATCAGTATCTGGGCAACTCAGATGTTTACACTAAATTACCCACCTAACTTGTTATTAATTGACTGTTGTTGGGTCAGGGGAGGGGTAGGTGGGCAGTTGTCCAGATACTGATATTGATCCATGTGTCCTGTATTATATTTCTCTTTACATAGCAGTAACACAAATTCGAAGACTTGTTCAAAGTTGTTTGCAACTGGTCCTTGTAAACCCCAATATAAAATATCCAGCAGCCTACCTCTTGAGCTGAGACAAAAAACACTCGGTCTTCTGCCTGTCCTTTGTCTACATACTTGAGCTCATCAACAAGGAAGTTGATGCTTCTATTGAGGTGTTCTTTTTTCACCTTTGGAAAACAGGTAAAAAAATTTGAAAAATCACACTTTATTACAATCAACTTATTGTTATCCAGGGGAGGGGAGGAGGTGGGATAAATGGTTTATTGTCCCATCCATCATTATACCTTAATCCTTCCCCTCTATCTAAGTGCCCCTCCCCTCCCCTACCCCCACTATGAATCTATCAGTACTTTTTTTTCAGCAACAATTTCTTACAAAGGGAGCATCTGAAATGAAAGGCAACTCCAATGTTGTGGTTTTTTTCCACTTTAAACATCTTTTTATTTCAAATTTGAATGGGCATCAAGGACAAATAGGTGCTTACTTACCTGCCTCATTCTCTCCGGCTCTGATGCACATGCATCACATCTGTTATACAGAATGAAGATGTTTGGTCTTGAAAGATGCTGATTCACTTTGAGAAAAAAGTTTTTCTCCTGCAAATGACATGGGTACCAAATGAGAAATTACCCCACAAGCATGGGAAGGTTTAATCTATGAATGCTACCATATTGGATAAATTTTTCCTGTAATAAGTCACATTTTAAAGCAACTGAAATATACAAAAAAGTCAATCAAATTTAAAGTTTGTATGTGTTGTATCTTAAATTTACACATAGCACATGAATGGTCATGAACATACCGTATAAGTAAGCGCTGACTCAGCATTAGCAACCAGGACAAACACATCAGCATCCAAACAGTGCTCTTCAATGCACAGATCAAGATCAGGCTTGAAACCTATACCAGGACTAAAATAACAGTTGTCTGAGACTATTTACATACAGTTGTGTAGCATTTTTAGGCTTCTTCTTGGTGTAGAAGACACAGGACATGTCACAATAGAGAAATGCCTCATTCACCTATTGTTTTCATTGTTTTCTTATTCTTTCATCATTTTTTTTCTTCTTAAACCTTCACACTCTAACATTAGTATGCATATTCTCTGTACTGATCCCTATACATTCCCTTAGGTGCAGAAAAAGACAATTTGCCAAACAGTTCAGAGCTTCTATAGTTGGTGATCATTTCTTTTATTCTTTTGATCTTACTGTTTAATTCAGGGTGAAGTTTTAAGGAGAAACTCAATTCTTAGGGCTCAAAAGGTCAATTATACAGTATATTTCATCACTTTTAATTTGCTTATCTATCCACAAAAACAACACCTTCTGACAACATTTTACATCTGAGGTTAAAAAAAAATTACATTATTCAGAAAAATGAAACCATCACAAGTGATAACAATGCACAGGCAAGTTTGAGAACACTTCATAGAGTAAGGGCTTGGAAACTAGGCAGACTTTGAACTCCACATGATAAACACAATGTCTGTTGCAGATATTGGGTTATCATGTCAACTTCCTCTGCTTTAGTATACTGATTGAATGCTTTGGACCAATCAGATCTTTCATAAGTCTAACGTATAATAACAGAATTAATTTGAAGCCAAAAAGTTTTGACAAACTTAACCTCTTTGGAATAAACCTGGACATGAACAATTCATGTACAACAGAGGGAACTACATTCTACTTTTACAATCAATGAATAAAGTTTGCAAGGCTGAACTGTAAATGCACTTTGATTGACAGGGACAACAGTTACCTATGAGTACATGTGAATGATATAAAAATTACAAAACAAAATCAAACCTGGACTTTGGCAAGAACACTTGAACAAAACTGCCAGGATCAAGATTTTCTTTGGACAAGATTTGAGACAGTTGAATTAATGGCTGTCTCTATAACAAAAAGAAAAAATAGGTAATTATCATGATTATTAACAATTCATTAACCCTTTGACACTTAAGATCTGATTACTAATTCTCTCATTTAGTTGCTACAAATTTCATTGAAAATTGGTTGCAAGAATTTGGTGTTCCATCAAGATAATATCTTGTACCTGATAAGTTCAAGTAATTGCATCACCTGTTTGCTGGATAACGTATGGATACTATAGAGAGAAGTTACATGTTAATCACTTCTGGGAGTCGAAGGGTTAACTTACATAGTGCATACATCAATGGGAGTCTTATTTAATTTATTTCATAAGTATTTTTCTGCTTTAAGATAATTTAGGTTCCTGCGATATTTCTAAATCAAATTTTAAATCAAAATTAATTGCTAAAACCATATAAACATCAGAGAAATACTGCTAGTTTAGAATTAAACAGTAGGAGTGATTGATTGAGGTTTAAGTCTTTATCGGCTGTCAGGCTATAAAAATCAAATACAATTTATTAACCATAAATCATATTTTACACATAAAATGTTTATAAGAAAAATATACATCCTTGTCAAGACTGGATGACAGTCAACAAAAACAATGGAGGAACTTTGTGTGAGTTGACAATTTTATTTTGTTTTCGAGTGAGGGTTATTTTCTAGTCGGTTTAATCCATTTATTACAAAAATTGACTGATGTGGGTAATTTGCCGCTGGGGTAAATGGATGGAAATTATGGTACATATAATTATTACAAAGGAGAAACTTACAATACTTTTTAAGAAGACATACCTCCATATTCTTTTTGCCATCACTGACTGGAACCAAAATATATGGAACTGGTGAATCTGAACCATGTACAATGAAGACACAGTTTGTAGTAGAGCCCATTCCCATTGGCGAGATTTCACCTTCTAACATGGCATTTAGTGTGGTGCTCTTTCCATCGCTGGTTTGTCCAATGAATGCCACCTTCATCTGATCCCTTGATAGTACCTCTAAAATGTTTGAGACCACAGCCAGATGGCCTGACACCTGTGTGAGAGAAATGCAATAATCAGTTCTGACTTAATAAGAATTAATTACATGAAACAACTGACAGTGATAGTGCAGGTATCTAGGGTGTTCATAAAGTGAGATGCACCATGAATAAATGCATGGTTGTACATCGAACTTAAGTCGCAGTGCCCATTGCCAAGATTGTAAAATTGGTGTCTTAACAATTTGTCTTGTGTAAACTGGGAGAAATAATCAGGGAAACAAAAAAAGCTGGCATGCATCTACACAACGTCCCTCTAACATACTGAATTACTGGGATCATGTGTACTATAGGTGGACTCGGTCGACATATCGGGCGACAGTCGACCGATATATCGGTCGACTATCGGTCGACTATCGGTCGACAATCGACCGACTATCGGTCGACTGTCGACCGACTATCGGTCGATAGTCGACCGATGTATCGGCCGACAGTCGACCGATAAATGTGTCGACCGATATAGTCTTAAACCATCGATACTCGACCGATACATGACCGATACTTGACCGATACATGACCGATACTTGACCGATACATGACCGATACTTGACCGATACATGACCGATACTTGACCGATACATGACCGATACTTGACCGATACATGACCGATACTTGACCGATACTTGACCGATACATGACCGATACTTGACCGATACATGACCGATACTTCACCGGTACTTCACCGATACTTGACCGACACTTCACCGATACTTGACCGACACTTCACCGATACTTGACCGACACTTCACCGATACTTCACTGATACTTGGCCGATAATTCATTGCCCCCCCGGGGGAAGGGTTTATTCCACGATAAAAGATATAAAACTCTAATAAGTAATATGATTACCTCATAATTTATATGTAAATTGCGTGTCTGGAATCCAGTTTTAAATTTCTCTTGTGCCGGCCATAGCGCGTATCGTCTCCGGCAGCGAATTCCAAGTCCTTACAGCGGCGAAGTAACGAAGAGACCTTAGACCATGTTTTGTACATCTTACTTTAGGTATCAAAGCATATTTGTGCCCCTTTAATAACGATGCGTGTTCTTTACTTGAAATGAATTATCTGTAGTGGTGGGTGTCTTCTTTTGAAAACATCTGTCTATCGTAATTAACATATCTTGGGTGAGACGACCCTTAAATGTGTTTTGTAAACCAATGAAATTGAGCATTCTTTCTTAATGAAGGGTCTTTGCTATAAATACATGTCATACCTAAGTGCACGGTCCTTTACCCTCTCTAGTTTTTCAAGTATATTCAACCTATTGACTTTGCCTGTTACTTTTCCGGAGATAGATGTGGTGTGAGAATTAAGGATCTGTGTTCACTTACAGTAGATCAAAATTATGAGATATACAACGCACGATGTTTATTGCGTTGGAGACTTACTACACCCTTTTCAAAGGTTAGGTTATATTTGGTTTTATTATCTGTGCTTTGGAAGCTTATTTCATTGGACAATGAATGGCATTTTAACCTTTTTTCCGCCGCCGCTGTCATTATTCTTTAAAAAAAAGTGTCACCGTCTGTCGATAAAGAGCACACAATTCGACTATTTAAAGGGTTAAAAACCTCCAGTTTGAGACATGACGGCAAACGGGACGTCGGTAGAGTGAACTCGCAATACTTCCAGCCGCACTCATAAAGTTTTGATTTCTATTTCATTCTATATCAAGCGCGTGTTTTTAGTAAACGTCAAAACAATTCTAACACTGTTTGTTCCCATTGGACCGCGAGTAAGGAAATTATATTTTCCGATGATGTAGTCTTCAACGCTGCTGTACTAAATGGTGGCGACGGTTGAAAATGTAGATCGTATTAAATTCCGTAGCTTTGTAAATCCACTTTATAGGGATACAACTGTTTCGAGATATTTGTCCGACAAAATGGAGCAAAACAATGGCTGTGTGCAAGTGTTTTAAAAAACATTGGTTATTTAATACAAGATGTATACTAGTAACTACAGTTTGTCATCCAAAAAAAAAATTACATTCCAAAACTCAAATGGGAAATGGTTTTTGATCGCATGCATTTTAGCGAAAGCTTAATTGCCTTTCTTTCCTTTAATTTGTAAAAACAAAGTAAAATGCGAGAAATTGGACCTTTCTCGGAACCTTCGATTTGTTTTTACTGCTCGGTGTATTCATTGGTTCAAATGATATAGATATAGAATGTGAACCGCGAACCACCCGTAATATAAATTATAATTTTTTTTAAATAAATATTTGGGTGCTGGAAGAAGGCAATACTGCCGATACAATAAATCCCCCTGGGTTACTACCCTTTTAAGGGAAATTTGGGAGTCCTCACGGGGCAAAGAAAATTTGACCAAGTGGGGATTGAAGCCACGACCTCCGAATTAGATCTACCGACTGAGCTACGAGACCAGCACGAGAGCAGGTCGGGGTAAATTAGGTAGTCAATCGCGATAAATGTGCAAATGATATCATTTGTACAAAACGGGGTAGTGTGGGGAGAAATTAGCATTTGAGGGTGTGTTTGCGTGTGCTTCGTGTGAGCCTATTGCTGCATAAAATGGAAATAACATAAATTAATAATAAGAAATACAATGAAAATAAAAGAAATGAGAAATAATGAAATAATTATAAAAAAATAATAAAATAATACATATCTCGTTTCGCCCCAGGAGTCTTTGTGTGGGTAGTTATTTGAAGTTGCCCAACCCCCTACCCACGGGAAAAACTGAAAACTTCAATTATTTTCCACCCTAGGGTCACAAGGGCCGATCTTCTCCCGGGTATTACCTCGGGAGGGTGGTAACCGTAGGAAATCAGCGTTGTTGTTCAGCCTACAGGATTGAATAGTATTTGAATTTATTATTAGTTTTGTTATTGCTATTTTATGCAGTAATAGGCTCACAGGAAGCAGTAAGGAAGGTCTCTTCCCAGCCCCCCCACCCCCATCACACACGCAGACACACACACCCTCAAATGCTAATTTCTCTCCATACCGAGCAGTGAAAAGCAAATCGACGATTTCCGTTAAAGGTCCAATTTCTTGTATTTTACTTTGCAGATTTCATGCGTATTACCCACATTTGACCGTGTTATCTGTGTGTTACTCCATGTATTCGTATGTTACTTTTATGTTACTCATATGTATCTGTGTGCGCCCGTATGACTCGTAATTACTCGTATGTACTTGTATGTTACTCGTAGTGCTCGTGTGGTGTTTTAGTCACTATCCTTTGAAGATCAATTGAACAAATGTAAGCTTATTTGCACCTTATCTTCTTCTCGCGAATGGCTATAGCACGTTTTATTCTCTTCTCTTCCATCCCAGCAAGTCGATCTCACCGTAGTGACTTCAACAGAAAAATAGCGCCATCCGAATTATTCCCAAAATCTTCGGCAAAACCTGTAGCCAGATTAGAGCCAAAATGCCAAAAACTGTGCGCATTTTACCTTGAAAATGTTAACAATTAATGTGTCATCAAGAAATGTGCCCATAAACAGATTCACCTCGATGCCTCGTATACATTGTATTTCATCACACAAATCCTAACTTCCTACAAGAATACCTTAAGGAATTCATGTGGAGAAGATGGCATGGTGAGCTTCACCTGATGGAGGACATTGCAGAACAATATCCACTTTAAATACCCAGAGGTGGGGGTACTCCCATATACATGTTTGTGCCGCGGGATAGGGTATGGTTTTGGCGGTTATCGTTTTGCCTCTGTTAGCATTGTGTTTCCGTTGTGATCTTTAGATAGGATATGTAAATTGTATCGGCTAAAATTGCAGTGTGTAAATGGCCAGCTAAACAAAAAGAAAATTCCGCTAAAATTGTCAACAAAGCGATTTTATCGAGATTTGTGTTTTGCCGCGCGTGGTTAGCCGTTGTTTGGTTATTGTTTTTCCTTGAATAGGGTGTCATATTTCGTGTTTGGACAATTCTTGTTTGTTTCATCCTTGAAGTGGGACAGGGTTCAAGACTCTTCGAGGCACACACTTATTCAAAATTTACGGGAGTACCCCCCTCCTCCGAAACGGGACAGTTCCTGTGACCTTAGTGCAGCATTGGTGCAATTTGGTATTTTTTTCAATTTTAGACTCAGTAGCATATACGGTAAAAACCCGCTAATAGGAACCTAATTTTTTCCAAGTAAGGCTAAGAAGGTTATTATAAAAGATGGTGCTTAACTGGAAAATTTGGCTACTCAGGTTCTTTAACAGGTTCTTGTTTTCAAATAGACTGCGAGCAGTCTCTTTTGCTGTGAAATTCCACTGGAACGAACGGGGAAAAAGCGGACGTGATCGACGAGCGATGAGGGGCGAGGCCGTGATCTGCGAGCAGCAGGGGCGCCAGTCACAGCGAAAAGAGATCGCAGCTTGGCCGCTCACCGCTCGTCGATCGCGCCCTCTGCTCGCAGTCTAGTTTTCAAAATAAATGAGTTGTTTGTCATTGAAGGGCGTGGCCTATTTTTGGTATTGTATGCATAATATGTTAAAAATCCAAGCATATATTTACCAAGTTTACAAAGCTATCCAAGATAAACAGAACAAAACGCAACATTAATACATGGAACTGTGTTGTTGCTTTGACGGAATTTCTCAAAAAAAAAGAACCTGTTTCAAAGTTGTAGGCTAAAACAGATTCTCGTGTAAAAGGAGTTTTAATGTACAATTTTTGTCTAACATTTTCAGTTAATCTATTTTTTTCGTAAAATCTAGGTTCTTAAAAAAGGGTTTTTTACTGTACCTGTAATAAATTCAAACATTGCAATAGTCTAGCACACTCGAGTTAATTTACGCGAGGTATTTTGAGCGTTTGACGTCATTTTCCCTAATTCTCAACCAGGCTATAATTGGAACGAGATAAAGAAATGGCGACTGCAACTTCTCGGAAATAAAAATACAAATAAAAAAAAGATTTCTGATGGTCGTAATGGATTGATATTTAGCAAGGTATTTTAGACAGTCATATTTTACACGAAATTATAAAAATGGATATGGATAGTTTGATCGTAGTAGCACTTTAAAAACATTACTTTCCCCCTACACTTCTGGAGGTGGAAGTCTACGAGAAGTTTCCATTTACCACTTTTTGTTTAGAAATTTATTAAAGCTTTGAATATCTATCATCTTGAGGCCTCCTTTATCGTAATCATTGATCATTTGTGTCCTTTTAAGTTTGTCCCCTTTGCTTTCCCAGAGAAAGTCATATAGCAGGGTATCGATTTCCTTAAGTGCACCCTGATGCGTTGGAAGAGAGGTTGAAACATGTACAATTTGGGATACTGCCAAAGCTTTTATTATCGTGATTTTACCTAGAAGAGTAAGTCTCCTAGCAGACCAGCTGCTTAGGATGTTTTTTACTCTCTCAATTTTCTCTGAAAAAATGGCATCGCTAGAACACATCAGAACGCTTTAAAGGTAGTGCAAAATGCGATGGAAAATTTGGAGCTATGCGATGTTTGGAGAATTTTTAATCCAAATGGCAAGAGGATTATCTGGAGGCAAAGACAACTAGATATTCATTGCAGACTTGATTTTGTTTTAGTAAGTCAAACTACAGTACTTACCCGCTTATAAGAATCTGAGTTCTCAGTTCTAAATGTACTCGTAGGGTGTACTCATGTGAATTCTAATTCAAAACCAACATGTACATACTACTGTTTTTCATACATTATTTATGCCAAAATAAGAGATTTTCATAGTTCATACATGTTTAAGTTCACTACTTTTGAGAGTCATGTCTTTTATCTTTGCCTGATGATCTTTAAGGTTTATTTTCTAAAACAGGAACCTGTTTCAAATTTAGGCTAAATAGATTCTTATGTAAAGGGGGTCTAAATTGATATTTTTAGGCTAACAAGTTCGTGAATTCTAGGTTCTTATAAGCGGATTAGTACTGTATTTCCGATAGGTGGGTGCCGCGGAGTTCCCTATTTAAGGATAAAAAAAATTTATACCGTTGTTAAGGCCCAAACCCCCAAAAAGACGCCCTATTCTAGGTAAAATAACAATAATGAAAAAACAAACAAACAACGGCTGACCTCGCACTGCAAAAAGAAGTCTTTATAAAATCGCTTTGCTTATGAGTTTAACCGCCTAGTTCAGTTTCAAAAGATCATTTGCTTTTCGTTTAGCTGGGCAGTTACATACTGCAATTTTAGCTGATACAATTTAGGTGGATCCCATTACCGACATAAACTGGACAGTTAATATCGGTAACGTTGTACAAGCAATATAACGTTAAGGACCTGTTAGAGCTATAAGAGCTAAGGAATAATAATCATTTTAGGTATGTTGGATTAAGGGCAGCATGACATCAGGGATAAAGCATAAGCCGGGTAGTTTTAGGAATAATGGAAATACGTTAAGGTACAACATTAATTACACAAGAGCGACCAACTTTACAATGTATTTTTCCATTACCAAATCGGAACATATATCGAAAAAACCTCGCACCCTTTCTTAGCCTATTTTCTTCTGAGCGATATGGTCGGTAAGTGAACCTATACTTGGCCGATACTTGACCGATACTTGGCCGATACTTGATCGACACTTGACCGATACTTCACCGCTACTTGACCGCTACTTGACCGCTACTTGACCGCTACTTGACCGATACTTGACCGATACTTGACCGCTACTTGACCGATACTTGACCGATACTTGACCGATACTTGACCGATACTTGACCGATGCTTGACCGATGCTTCACCGATACTTGACCGATACTTGACCGATACTTGACCGATACTTGACCGATACTTGACCGATACTTGACCGATACTTGACCGATACTTGACCGATACTTGACCGATACTTGACCGATACTTCACCGGCAGTTGGTCGCTACATATCGGCCGATGCATCGGCCGACAGTCGGTCGATATATCGGTTGACCATCGGTCGACTATCGGTCGACAATCGGTCGACTATCGGTCGACTATCGACCGACTATCGACCGATAGTCGGTCGATTGCCGACCGATAGTCGACCGATATATCGGTCGACTGTCGCCCGATATGTCGACCGAGTCCACCTATAGTACACATGATCCAATTACTGTATCAATGAATCAATCAAGGTAGCTTTCAAGTAATAGCAAAATAAATAACAAAAACACCTTAAAAAACAACCACAATCAAGGTTGTATGATCTACACCAGTTTAACTTTATTTAATTTACCAATTCTCATCAATATCATGGAGCTTGAACGCGACATCCAATCTTACCTTGCTTGAGATATTCTTGATGTCTTCATTTTTATCCTCAGTTATCCTTGATGTCGCTACCAAGTCGTTACAGGCTATAAGTAACTTTTTGAGGTCCGCAAATGTCGGGCATATCTTCTTCTTCGCTTTTACGAAATTGTGAACAGAGTAATTGGTAATTGTGAAGAAGAGCTCCCCAAAAAACCTGTCGGCCGACTGTCGGTCAACTGTCGGCCGACAGGTTACCGACAGTCCACCACCAAATCTTGAAAGTCAATTGTCAACGTATTACACATGTTGGATGTTGTATCAAGCGAAAACCGAGAGAAAACATTAAGGTTTGTGTTAACGTTTCACGGACAAGCTACCGACAAGCTACCGACAGGTTACCGACACATTACCAACAGTCGGCCCACTGTCGGCCGACTGTCGGTCCACTGTCGGCCGACAGGTAGCCTATATTTCGGGCAAAACCTGTTGGCCGACAGACGACCAACTGTCGGCCGACTGTCGGCCGACAGTTGACCGACAGTCGGCCGACAGGTTTTTTTTTTTTTCTTCATATTCACTAGTATTAGATTACAGACTGCCTTAAGAGTTTGACCAGGACAGACAAGTTTCAGAAGTTGTTTACAATTTACAAAAAAATTCCGAAGATTCCGTTTCGTTTGTAAACGGAACACGACTTTTTAGTTCGTTCCAGTGAAACAATTCCGGGAAAAAAGGAACATATGAGAAGGTAGTCTCATTTTTGAGGTTTATGCCCTTCCAAGATCTTCCACCTCTCTCACCAGTTCCAAGCCTTTCACGGTCGTTTTCGTAGCCAGACCCCTCTCGTTTTTTTTGCGTACGCTCCCACCAATCAACACGATCTCTCTCTCAAAAGGAGGATAATTATCACTCGCAATATGTCCTCAAATGAAGTACTATACCTCTATACTTCATTTTAGTTTGACCGTGATTTCAATAGATAGACTGGGAATAGATATGTGGATAATCCGCATGCTAACCAGCGGTATCTTCAAGCAGCTGGGGACCTTTGTTGTTGTTTCCTGATGAGGAAATTTTCGAAGATAGAGAATCTTTTCTTCTTCAGAGGAAGTGTGCGATGATCTCACCAACCGTATGCAAAGGACTCAAGTTCATACCGTTAGATCAGGTCTAAGACCTGTTAGAGTTGGAGTTCCTCAAGGATCTTTGCTTGGCCCTAGACTGTTTGCTACTTATGTTAATGCCCACCGTTTGCTACTCATGTTAATGCCCTTCATAGGTCCTACGAAACCTCTGAAGTGGGGCGACGACATCATTCGGTATGTTTCCTCCTCTGTGTGCCTCGGAGCTACAATCGACAACAAATTATCCTGGTCTCAGCATATCAAACTAACTTGTTCTTCCTTCCACATGAAAGTTAAAATGCTGAGACGTATAAGTTTTCTGCCCAAATCTATTTTAGAAACTATTTGCTTTAAGACAGTAATCCCAAGTGTCTTGTATGGAATTGTGATATGGGGGTCTGGCACCAAGCTTAGAGAACTAGAAGTGATACGTATTAGAACTGCTTACCAAAATGTATGAAGGATGATGATGTATTAGCAAGAGTTGGGTAGATGCCTCTTGAGTATTTCTATAAGTTTCGTATTGTAACTATTACTCACACGGCATTTTATGGCTTGGGCTTAAATGAAGTAAATTCCTTGGTTGTTAAGAGCTCTACTAGTTATGATCTTAGAAAATCGCAAAATGTTTTAATTGATAGATCTAATACTGAACTTGGCCATGGTTCTTTTACACTGTTGTGTATTCCGAATAAAAAGGCCAGGAACACAGTAACTAGATCAAGATGGCGGAAGAACTATTTTTAATCTGAACAGAAAACCTCGTGTACAATACCAAATATGGAAAACAGGTCTCGTGACACTAACTTCTACGTAGAACAGGGAAACCAAATGTAGGAAAAATCTAACAATTTCCTCCCTTTTAAGACTCAATAGTACACTAATGAAAAGAAAGAATAAAACAAAATCCAAGAAACAAATTTCAAAGTATCTTAGATAACATGTTGGTACTGTGACCACAGAAAGAAACACCACAGTTCCCTCTAGCCGCAAACATAGTCCTTCAACTTAGGAGGTGGTTTAACCAAACGACCGGCACGGGTGGTAATCGATTCAGGTTTCGGATCTAGTTGATGACCTTGTGGTTCTGGAGGGGAAAACTCCCCAATAGGCGTCACAGCCAAAGGTGGTGCATCCTTCCACTCAGTCTCCGTAGCTACAGGCGGTGTGTCATGTTCTACCTCCTCCGGAACAGCACAATCATCCATCGTTTCCGCGTCAGGTGGGCAAAGGTTGCTATCCCGTAGCTGCTCGACATGACGTTTCCAGGTTTGGTCGTTTACCTTGACTTTGTACAGGACTGGACCCGTTTGTTCAATGACGGTGCCACGCACCCATTTTGGACCTCTGCGGTAGTTGCGGACCCATACGTTCTGGTTTTGGTCAAAAGACTTTAAAGTGCGGTCATTGGGCTGGAGCAACTTCTTGTTAACTTTTCTTGAAACATCCGGCTTAATCAGATCCAACCTTGTCTTAACATTCCGACCCAGGAGAAGCTGTGCAGGGCTAAGCTCAGTAGTGGCGTGTGGCGCTGATCGATAAGCTAACAGGAACCTATCAAGCTTGTGTTGCAGGGTTCTACTGGACTTGTCAGCCTTAACTCCTTTCTTGAAACTCTGTACTAATCTTTCCGCCTGACCATTGGTTGATGGATGGTAAGGTGCACCAGTGACATGCTTTATACCGTTCGCAGTTGTAAATTTCCTAAAGGTTTCGGACGTGAACTGTGGACCATTATCTGACACCATCTGGTCAGGGAGTCCCATGCGGGCAAACAGAGAGCGCAGCGTGCTAACGGTTTCTTCAGCAGTGGTGATCTCCATCACGAAGATCTCCGGCCACTTGCTGTGGGCATCGATCACTACCATGAGCATCTTTCCCTCGACTGGTCCGGCAAAGTCAATATGCAGTCTTTGCCAGGGAAGGGAAGGGTACTCCCATCGATGCAGGGGTGCACGGGCTGGATTATTTGCCAACTCTTGACATCCCTCACAGTTTCGGACGGCCCCTTCTATGTCCTTGTCAATGTTTGGCCACCAAACAAAACCCCGGGACAAACCCTTCATCTTGACCATACCAATGTGACCCTCGTGAAGCGTTTCTAAAACTCTCTCTCTCAGTTTGGCTGGGACGACTACTCTACTACCCCACATTAGAACTCCATGATGAATCGTGATTTCGTTACCGCGATGGGCATAGTGGATGAGCTCTGGGTGAAGTTCGGTCCCTTGCCATCCTGACTGCACAAGCTCCAGAACACGGGAAAGTACTGGATCCCTACGGGTCTGCATTCTCAAGTCGTGCTCTGTAACGGGGAGGGCCTCGACAACGGTGGTATGGAATATTTCAACTTCATCGGGCTTGTCAGCGGGCGCTGATGGTTGAGGTAGGCGAGATAAACCATCACAATTGGCATGTTGCTTGGTACCTCGGAACTCGATATTGTATGAAAAAGCTCCTAGGAAGAGACACCAACGTTGAATCCTCGCTGCTGCTCTGACTGGCACAGCCTTCCCGGGGTCCATTATGTACTTCAAAGGCTGATGGTCGGTGACCAAGGTGAAGTGGCGACCCTCCAGGTACATTTGGAACTTCTTCACACCCCAGACCAAAGATAATGCTTCTTTCTCGATTTGTGAGAACTTCTTCTCTGTTTCGGACAGGGACCGGGACGCATAAGCGATAGGACGCTCTACTCCCTCAGCAGTACGGTGTGACAAGACCGCTCCGAGACCATACGAGGAGCTGTCTGTGGCAAGAACTAGTGGTGAGTCAGGGTCATAGCGCATCAGAACCCTATCCTGTAGCAACATTTCTTTCACCACAAGAAAACTAGTTTGTTCCGCAGCTCCCCACAACCACGTCACATCTTTCTGTAACAGCCGATGAAGTGGAGCAAGATGAGTGGCCAGATCGGGCAAGAATTTGGCGTAATACTGGACCATGCCAAGAAAAGCACGCAGTTGAGTAACATCCTGAGGTTTCGGCATCTCAGTGATAGCCTTTACTTTCTTTGGGGATTGGTGCAGTCCTTCTGCAGAGATGACGTGTCCTAGGTACTCCACAAAACTTCTAAGGAATTTACACTTTTCTCGGTTGGCTTTCAAACCATATTCTTCCAACCTCTTCAATACTGCGACTAACCGCTCCAGGTGTTCCTCTATGGTATGGCCGGTTATAATGATATCATCCAGGTAACAGAAGACCCCTGGTAGTCCTTGCAGGATCTGATCCATAGCTCGCTGCCAGATGGCTGGCGCCGAAGCTACACCATAAGGAAGGCGCTGGTACTGGAACAAACCACGGGTTGTGTTAATGGTGAGGAAAGGCCTGGAGTGCTCCTCAACCTCCATTTGTAAGTAAGCCTGACGAAGGTCAATGACGCTGAACAACGTTCCCCCACCTAGGCTGGCGTAAATATCATCAATGCGGGGAAGTGGGTACTCGTCTACCTCCAGCTGTGAATTGATGGTCACTTTGAAGTCACCACACACTCTTACACTGCCATCCTTCTTCACAGGTGTCACAATTGGAGCAGCCCACTCACTAGTAGCTACCTTCTTTATAACTCCTTCAGCTTCCAGCTCTCTCAATGCTTCGTCCACTGCTGGTTTACGAGCCAGCGCTACTGGGCGGGCTTTCCAGAATCGAGGCCGGGCATCCTCTTTAACTTGGATCCGTGCTTGGATATTCTTCATTTTGCCCAAACCTTCAGAGAAAACATCTCCATGCTTACTCAGGACATCTTCCAGGGCTGGAATGGTGTCGGATGTTTCCAGACGAAGTAAGGGCCAGTCCAGATGGATAGATTCCAGCCATTCTCTGCCAAAAAGGGTGGGTCCCTCATTCTTCACTACATATATGGGAAGTTTCTTTGACTGTCCCTGATACTGCACAGTCACATGGCAAAACCCCATAGGCTTCACTGACTCTCCTGTGTATGTGCGCAACTTCAAGGTGTCCTTTAAAGGAATGTGGCGGAGGTAATCCAAATACACCCTCTCACTCATGACTGACACCACTGAACCTGTATCCAGCTCCATAGTCACTGGGCGGCCTTCAAGGTAGATCTTAAGTGAAATGGGCTTTGTGTTTTTAATGTCTGAGACATGGTACAGGTTCCCAAATTCTCCATCACTTTCTTCGGAATCATCACCCTCCATGACATTTATTCCAGCCTCAGTCATCTGTGAGGTGGCCTGTCTCTTCCTACATGCTCTCTGTGTATGTCCAATGATGCCACAATGAAAACAGCGTTCTTTCATGAAGGGACACTTTTGTGAGTTATGTGACCCTGAACAGCGGTAACAAGGTTTAGACTTCTTACTGTCCTTACCTCGGGGACCCTCGGCCCTAGGTGGTGGCTTGGATATGGCTTGTTCTTCCCCAGTTTTGACAGTGTCAAGTTTATTGATTGGGGTGCCTGGCCCTTGTTCTCCCTGAAGCACCTGAACATCTTTATTAGCCTGCTCAATGGCCAAACACTTTTGAACCGCGAGATCAAATGAAAGGTCGGCGAGTTTTACTTTCAACAATTCCGTAATCATCTTCGAGTCGCGGATACCTGAAACTAATCGGTCACGAAGGCGCTCGGTTCGCATGGCCTCTCCAAACTTACATTCTGTGGCCAAGTGCTTCAGTGTGGCTACATAATGACTAACTGACTCACCGGAATTCCTGGCTCGGTTGTCGAACTCATACCTCGCAACCAGCGCTGATCTTTCAGGTTTCAGTTGTTCCCGCATTCGCTCCACGATGATCTCATAGGTAATGGCGTCATCTTTCAGTTGTGTGGGGGCCACTAAATCCTTCGCCAATTGGTAAGTCTCCACCGGAAGGTTCGTCAAAAGTACGGCCTTCATTGTTTTAGGTTCCTTGATCCCATTTGCAAGAAAGTAAAAATCCAGTTGTTCGGTGTAGGACTCCCAATCCGCTCCCACCACAAACTTTGTCACTTTGCCGATGGCTTGACTCGTGTTAGCGCTCGGTGCTTCGTCCGGCATAATTTTATTTTCGTCGTCTCTGTCCCTT